TCCAGCGCGGGTGCTGAGCAATACTTGAACTCAGAAAATGTACAGGGCACGTCTGGTGCGACACTCATGCGCGATAGTGACGATAAAATTGTCGGCGAGGGCGCAGCTGCCAGCTGCTTTCTCCGCACTAACGAGAAAGATGCTGTGAATGGCAGCTGTGTACGCGTCGGGCACTCCGAAAAACTTGAGTTGCAAGATCAACAATGTTCAAGCGCAGTTGCTGTCTCTGATAATGAGGACTTGTTTTACGATTGCAGTGCTATTTCACTGCAAAATAAAACTGACTGTGAGCATTATGCTGACGTTCCAGAAGCATTTTATGATGCTAAAGACGATATTCGAGTAGAAGATGTTCCGGAACACCTAGAACTTCACAGAAATAGTTTTCGGCTTGCGCTCCAGGGGTCTGGCGTACTTGACACACCTCGGGCTACTGTGCAGAACGGCGAGCAAGGCAGTCCCAACAGCCTTTCGGCATGCGAGGGCAAGCAAAACGGGCACTTCCACGCTGAATCGCGCGGCGGAGACGTGTTGATTGCACAGGATCTGGGTGATTCGCCGGCAGGTGACCTCCCGGACTTTGTCACTGCAATGCCGGGCAGTAGCAAAGGCTCCGCGTCTAACAATACGCAGGCGGCTAGGGCAGGCTCGAACAGTTTATCCGACTTTACGGACAGTGATACTTCGTTGCTCCACCCGGAGTTCAATAGCTCTTCTCGCAGAAATCGAATAACCACTCAGCATGCACTGTACGAGCTGCTAATGCGGCAGCCGCGAAGCAATGCTCGCAAAGTTTACAAGGACACATTAGAACGTGTTTGCGAATTTATGCCCGCACACGTTGAAGCTGCCGTGTTATCGCAAACGTTAGATCGCGCCACCTTTTCTCTTCCAGGTGCTCTTTCTGATACCCTCTTAAGAGATGCGATCCTCAAACTTTATCAGGAGGTCGATGGCGGTTCAGGAGGCTCATCGAATTTGTCGAGTACGCTGACTGACCCCGATTGGTTTCAGAAAGTTTCGGAAGGATCGAAGAAGGATAACCATGGCCCAGTATTTGTGCCTGAAGCGGACGAGAGCGACTCAAAAGCGGACACGCGACTGGTCGCGAACGCAGGATATACTGAGAATGACTCGCAGGCATTAACATCTGAGTCAGAATCCAAGCCCGATTGTCTAGGCACTGGGAAGCGGATCGGCAAGGGAGAGTACTTGCGTCGCGAGCACAAGGCCGACCGCAACGAATTGCAAAGTCAGACTCTAGGATTCGAAAAGAACACCGCCTCGTACGACGAGCTGCCTAATGATGCAAGTGAAAATCTGCACGGAATCGAAGTGCGGATAGGAGGCAGAAGTTGGAAGCAAGGCGGAATTGAGAACTGTGCGCCTAAGCAAGTCAGCGAAACAACACTTAGCGGCGAGGAAACTTCTAGCTCTCTCGCAGGTCCTCTGGCAACTACTTCTGTTGCCGCGGCTGATGGCATAATAGATTTACTAGGGAACAAGTCCCTGCACAACGGTGCGCAAGTCGCTTGTATGTTTGGACTCCGAGAAAAATTGTCGCAAACCATTCCCACATTCGAATTGGCCCCCCATAAGTTTGAGCATACTTGTATGAATGCGTTTCAGTTGTATTATTCTTTGTTGTTGAGGTGTAATCAGTCAGCTAGGGAAGCTCCGAAGATTGCAAACTTTGTCCTAACACGTCTTGATACGCCAGGCAACAGAGAAGCAATATTGACACAGTTACTGCACAAATTAGAACCCGGAAACGACTGCCAGGCCGCTGCTTCTACTTACATGTGTGATCGGAAGCGAGAATTGATTGCAGAAGCCAGAAAACAGCTTTTGCAGGATCTTGAAACTAGAGAAGAACTCGATACAAAGGAACGCTACAGCTTTGGGGAATTAATTAAGGAACCGATGTATGGGTGGCTATTGAGATGGAAACGCCGGGTTTTAGCTCAGCTTTTCAGAGTTGCGCCGAAATCTAAGATAAAGCGCATGCTGCTAATTTTTATGGCGACAGAAGACCCAAGAGTGTCCATGGAAACGATGGATCGCTCCATCTTATACGGATTTTACGTGGACTACTGCTGTCTTTCTACGCTGAGCAATAATTCGACCGACGATGTGCTTCGTGTGCCGCGTTTTTCGCAGCCTAAAGTGAGTCACGCAACGTTGAAGAGTTACCAGAATTTCATTCGGTCAATGGCCCGAAAGGAGATTGACATGTCGCCTACGACTGTGGTGCCGCATAAAACTGGCGACGTTACTTTCAACTGTGAACGCAGCGCACGGGATCGGAATTTAACGAATTTCGTTATGCTCGACCAAAGCTCTGTGCAGAGGAGTAATGATAAGACTCCTCCGCAGCCGCGGTTCTATCAAGGTGTGAATGTCGCAAACCATAGCCCAACCGGCGATTCCGGTTTCGCAGCAAGCAATTGCTCTTCCGATGAACCACAATTTGTTTTGGGAACTGCGCTGCAGAACGATTCGTACGCACCGCAACAGCCGGGCTTGGTGCCTGCGCCGGCCTGCTTTCAGCCTGAACAGCATAACGCTTCGTACGCACCGCAACAGCCGGACTTGCTGCTTGCGCCGGCCTGCTTTCCGCCCGTACAGCATAACGCTTCGTACGCACCGCAACAGCCGGACTTGCTGCCTGCGCCGGTCTGCTTTCCGCCCGAACAGCATAACGCTTCGTACGCACCGCAACAGACTGTCTCGCCGAGACTGCAGCAGGGCGAATTTGCGCCGCAGACCTCCGCCAATAGTTGGACTCACTTGGACTTGCAGCGGCTCGATACGCAGACTCTGCAGAATATGGTAGCGACACAGCTGCAGTCGGAGGCGCAGAAATACGGAGAACAAGGGACGCAAACGGGTTCAGAGTTGCGGATTCCGGATCACGTGCGATGGCCGCTGCTGATACTCTGCCAACGCTTGTATTTACGAGAGAAGCAGGAAGTTAAGGCACTGAAACGGTTTTTGTTCGCACCTGTTCAAGCGCGAGCTAAGCCACGGTTCTCGCAGCAGCAAGCCTTCCTGAGCAGCGTGACTAACAAATTGCTCTCCCTTAAGAACTGCGCGTCGCTGCAGTCGTCAAACGTTTCTTTGAGTTCAGCGGAAAGTCAGAAGTTGCACACTTCGGAGTCTAAAGCTGCGTCTTCTGTTAGCGGTTGCGCGGGCCAAGACTTTCCGCTTGACGGCGTTGCACAGCAACGGGTCATTGATAAAGCTGCATGTCCAGTGCAGCACTGCGCGCGAGACGCTGCGCATAACGCGGAGGAGTCCGTTCGCCCTAGATCTACGCCGATGTCAATCGGCTGCACGTCGGCAAGGAATGATGAAGCGCAGTCGGATCGCTCCTCAGATGACAAGACGCCCAAATCCGGCACACTCGTAAATGCAGTAGAGCCTAACAGCAGGCACGACGCTGCTGAGCCTCGGCAGTCGGCAACTGTGACTTCTGCTGAGCGAGCTACGGAGGTTGCGAATCGCGAAATTGAGCAGCCGTCGCAGCAACTTGCAAAGAAGACTAATGCGGAGCCTGAGCTCGGACAGAGCCATTCGCAGCCACAGTCGCACGATCCGCACCCCAGTGTGTTGCCCAAGAACACGCACCATCAGAACTGTCCAAACTGTTGGGCGGAGTTTCTTCTACTTACGGAGAGAGAGAAACGTCTTTCGGAAATTCCCGAGACAGATCATCGGCCGCGGATGCTCGGTAATTCGTGGGCTTCGGGACGGTTTAGAAGCTCAGTACCGCGTATCGCTTGGAGAGCGCACAAACGCGTGGACGGTTCTAATTATCATCGCGATGTCGGTTTGCCTGAACATGTTGGGTGCCCGCAAGCGTGTTGGGCGCAGTGTCTGCAGGAAATTGCCCAGCAACCTCTTTTAGACAGACACAAGTTTTTGCACAATCGGCTGGAACGGTCGATTAAAAACATGGTGTTTCGCGGAGAAAGAGCGAAAAACACTGTGAGTCCGCAGAAAAACAGAAGACGGCAAAAAGAAGTCCACCTGTCGGCATGCGCCGAAGCTAAGACTACTGATCCGCAGCAGAACAGTTCGACGCTCCTCACGCTTGCCGAGATTGGAAACGATTCTCTGCCTCCGTGCCACTGCGACGACTGTTCGATGCCGGAAGTTGTTAAAGCTGCCCCGCCGAACTAGTTCTGGTGCTCTCGCATTTGTGTCGCAGACTCTCGAGTAAAACTCTCCGCCTTCTGCTTACTGGCATCGACTCACTCAGCTACCCCGCGTCTTGTGCAGCAACCAGGGTTGGCCGCGAGCGCGGCCGACGTGCGCTGCAGATGCATCGCAGTTTCTCCTTCGCGAAAGCAAGGCCTCTGCGCCGTGCGCAGCACTGCCGCTGCATTGAGCAGCCCGCGAGGGCGCGCAGAGCTGCGCGCCGCTCCGCGCCGACGCGCGCGAGTGCATTCGCTGCGTGTTGTACGGCTGCGGTCCGGCGAACTGGGCTTGCACTGCACGAAGCAGTCCGCAAATTTGCGTTGCGGCGCACCTGCGTTGCGCTCGCGGCCTTCGCTAGTTTTCGGACAACGCTCAGGTAACCGTCAGCGTAACGCTAGGCTGTGCGTCAGTCGTTGCCGGAACACTCTGCAGGCTACTGCTCTTGTCAGTCCTTAGCTGGCGCTCGCGAGCAGTCGCTGCGCCGCTGTGCCGGGAATTCGGCTCGAGCCGCCCTGGCGCTCGGCGTCCCGCGGGACGACGCAAAGTGTTGCACCGTTGACTCGCGCGAAAGCGCGAGGGGTCGCGTGCAGAGCCGTGACTGTGGGCGCGCGCGGACTTTGCCGGAGAAGGCAGGTGCGCAAGCTGGACGGAGTCTGCGAAGCCTGTGCAGCACAACATTTTTGAAGTGAGCAGAAAGTGCAGCGCGGAAGAGGCGCGTGCGCGGCACGTTTGGCAGAATGCGTTTGCGCCGCCAGCCCTCACACTTACAACACATAATTTTTATATTATTGGTTCAGAGCAACTGAGATGAGCGCATTGTTCAACTTAGTTTCGCTGCTGGTCGTGTTGTGTCTCGCCGTGTGCTCGTGCACGTACTTGAAGCGATTCATGCCGTCGATCATCAACCACCGGAACGAGGGCTTCAGCGGCGTAAGTGCAGCCTGACGCGCAGCAGGCGATGGGGCGCTTTGCGCGAGTGGGCGAGAAGCTGAGCGCCTACGTCAGCTTCACCTGTCTTGCGCTCGCTGTGGCGATCTTGCTCACGTGATCTAACGACATTCTTTTTCTCGCGATTAATTCAATTTCTAAATGACTGAAATCCTTCCCGAGTTCACCGCCGAGGGCGAAAACTTTTTGCTGCCGAAGTTCTCGCGGGACGCGGACGTCGCTGACGTGCGCATCTTGTGTCCCTCGGTCGCCAAGGTGGCGGTGCCGCGTGTCTGCGACTTCGTGGCCGGCGGGCCGCAGCGCAACTCCTACTCGCTCAAGCAGTCGAGCGACAAGCACAACGACATGCTGACCTCCGAGTACCGGCGTCGCGCGGTCAACCGCTCGGCGTACTTGCGCAACAAGCAGACGAACGAGCCGCAGACGGGCTTTGTTCCGAAGCAAAACGCACCGCGCCGCGACCGCTTCTGGCACAACAACTCGCGGCACCAGTACAACAACAACTACAGCAATCAGTACCGCTATCGCGCGCGCAACGCGCTGATCGAGTTCGTGGTGCCCGTGCAGAGCACGTGGCGGCTCGTGCAAGAGATCCCGCTGCAAACGTTCTCTTCGCCCTCGATCAAGCACCGAGAGGTCAGCATCGAGGATTTGGAGTGGCGCGGCGTGGCGTTCGGCTACCGCAAAGAAATCGACTTGAGCAACGCAGACAGCGCGCAAACGCTCGAGTACGCGGACGACCCCGCCGAGAACATTCGCGTGCCCGACTGCCGCGGTGACGATTTTCTGTACAGCAACATCGACAACCCGGACTACGACGTGCTGATCACTTCTCAGGTACTCGCCATCATCATGAGCGCGCATCTCTCGCGCTTTGGCTGGGAGATCAACTGCTTCAAGGTCGGCAACCGCCTGATTTTCGACAAAAACGAGAACAGCGACAACCTCGACCTCGTGATGCTTTACGAAAACTCGGACCACATCCCCGATGTGCCGCAGAAGACTCTCGCGCGCAAGGCCGCGAAGGCGAACTTCGAGTTTCAGAAGTTCTGCATCCGCGGTTCGCAGAAATTCGTCGTCGCAAATGACATAGAGCTCTTCGACGTCTCAGACATGTGCTCGAACTACCTATACCGCTACCGCAAAATCGTGTTGCCCCCCGGGAAGCCAGTGCCCGGCATGGCTGCCAACTCTTCGCGGCGCAACCCGATGCGGCTCTACGTCAGCTCCGTGATCCACGCCGCCGGCGTCGACGAAGAGGGCCAGCTCTCGGAGTACATAAACATCCACGCGCTGAACGAGGGTTTGCTGCCCACCAAGAAGTCGGACTGGAGTGTCGGGCTTTCGAAGCAACAGGGCAACACGTTCATCAACGAGATTCGCGAGAACAGCAACATCGTCAGCAAGTGGCTGCTGAACAGCGTGATTGCAGGCGTCACGACCATCAAGCTGGGCATGGTTACCCACCGCAACAACCAGCACAAACTGCTGCATGTCTACTCCAGCAATATCGTCGAGATGATCAACCAGTGCGGACTCAAGCTGAACAGCGGATGGGGCACGTTCCGCGAACTGTGCGACTTGCTGCTCGGCGACCAGGAGAACCAAAACTGCAAGTACATCATAGTGCGCGACGCGTTCATGCCGACCATCAAAATTTACGCTACCGATATCGACAAAAAGAGCGAAGACTAGCGCGGCGTAGTGTGCCGCACCGAAATTGTATAGACGCAGCGCGTAGCGCCGCGCGCCGCGCTCGCGATTTTTGCGTAATGTCTTAAATTATTAATATTTGGCACTAATGAGCACGGAAGAGTCGCAGAAAAGTAGGTGACCGCCGCCCACGCGGGCTGTGTTGCAGCACCCACCGTAGAAACTAAGAAGCCGCGCCGCACCACCTTTGTGATTTCGAAAGAAGTGCCAGCGCCCGCAGTCCCGCGACGCCGCGAACTCAAGACTTCGAGCCGCCGTCAGCTCGTCAACAGCGTAATCACCGAAGTTGCTGGCCTTGCGCCATACGAGAAGCGTGTGCTCGAGCTGCTGAAGATTGGCTCTGCCACGCGTTACAAGGCCGCGCTCAAGTTCTGCAAAAAGCGCCTCGGCTCGCACGCGCGCGGACTGCGCAAGCGCGAACTGCTGAGCAGGCTCGTGGCTTCTGCGCGCCGCGCCTAACAGACGCGCGCCGCGCAACCGCTTGTGCTTCCCTGTTTCTTTCGTTTCTGCGCGGCTGCCGACGTTCGTGTCGCTGCCCGACTAGACACAACAGAATTTCTATTATTTAATTGGAAAACCGTTCGGGAGCCATGGTAGGTTTCGCGCGCCACGAACGCAGGTAAACGTGCCGAAACTGCGCAACACCTTTTGCCCGGGCAAACAGTGCCGCAAGCACCAGCCGCACAAAGTGTCGCAGTACAAACAGGGCAAAAACTCGCTGATGCGCCAGGGAAAACGACGTTACGACCGCAAGCAGCAGGGCTTCGGCGGGCAGAGCAAGCCCATTCAGCACAACAAGGTCAAGACCACCAAGAAAATCGTGCTGAAGCTCGAATGCAACGCCTGCAAGCACAAACGCATGATCCCCATCAAGCGTTGCAAGGTTTTCGAACTCGGCGGCGACAAGAAGATCAAGAGCGGCCCCGGCTTCTAAGCGTCTCGTGACTTAGCGTGCGCTGCGCTCTGCGCCGCGCGGCGCAGAGAGAATCTCGCAATAAGTAATTATTCTAATTTATCTTCAAATCTGCTCGAGGCTGTCGGGCTTCGACTGTTCGCTCCGCAAGCGGAACAAGGAACGCGAGCCTTGATGAAGAACAACGATTCCGCAGCGCTGCGCTTTGCGTCCGCCAAGCCCCGGCTCGGCGAGCCGCACCGCGGCTCCGCGCCGCAAAGCCGAGCGCGGCCCGAGCTGGGCACCTCGCTGCGGCTGGCGGCGCAGAGCGCGCACAAAGCCGGCTCGCGGCTCGCACTGGACCCCGCAGCTTGCGCGTGCGGCGCGGCGGACTACGTTGAGAGAGAACGGCGAAGACTACGACAAGAGAAATCCGCGCTGAAGGAGCGTGAAGTGCTGCTCACCAAGGTTTACAAAAATCTGGACACCATGCGCGTCAAACTCGAGCAGGACAAAGAGTACATTTTGCGCGAGCGCGACCTGCTGACCGCTGAAGCGCACGGGCTTGAAAACGCGAAGTCCGCTTTGCTGAATGAACGGCAAAAGCTGATCCGCTTGCAAACTGAGCTGACGAGCCTGAAAGATCAGCTGATCCACTCGCGCCGCGAGCTCGAGACGAAAGCCTACGCGCTGCACAAAAAGGAGCTCGAGCTGTCGCGCGCAGAAGCCGCCCTCTCCGACTCGCAGCGCTCCGAGTCTGAGGCCGCGAAGAGCCGCACGGCAGAACTAGAGCGCGAACTCGCTTCCGAGAAGGCTGCGCGCGCTGAGCGCGAAGCCGATCTCGCGCTACTACAACGGGACCGCGAGGAGCTGCTGCGCGACCACGAAATGCTTAAGAGCGACCTCGAAGCGCGCTGCGCGCGCGTACTCGAGCTGGAAAAACGGCTTCTGCAGTCGGAGCAAGAAAGCAACGACGGAGACGCGCGACTGAAGCAGCTGCTCGACGAGTTCGAGAAACGCAAGGCTTTCATTTCCAGCGAACTCGACGTGCGCGAAGCGCACCTCGCCGAGCGCGAAAAGAATCTCGACGCAAAGTTCTCCGATCGCATGGAGCGGATTAGCAGCGAAGTCGCCAAGCTGCACGCCGAGAGCGCGCGACTGCAGGAGCTCGAGATCAACTTACGTGAGCGCGAGCTCAAGATCAACTCGCAGATTGACACGCTGCGCTTCCGTTCTGAAGAGCTGTCGAGCGCTACCAAGGCGATGGCCGAGCGCGAACGGCAACTTGCGCAGAAAGCTGAAGCGCTCGACGCGTTTGAGGCCAGATTGCAGCACTTGTCAAAGGAGCAGGCCGACAGCGAGCGCAGCCTTGCGGCGCAGCGCGAGAACTTGGTCGCGGAGCGCGAGGCTCTGAGCCGCGAGTGCGCCGCCACGGAAATCGAAAAGAGCCAGGTGTCTAAGTCTCGCGCCATGCTGGACCTCGAGTTCGCAAAGCTTCAGTCGCTCTCGGCGCAGCTGGACCAGCGCGCCGAACTCTTGCAGAAGCGCGAAGCGGAAATCAGCGAGAAAACGCACTCGCGCGACGCGCTCTACGAAGCCGACTTGCAAAAGCTGGAGGCGCGGCTCGTCGCTGAAAAAGCTGAACTCGAGCGCTCCTACGAAAACTTGGTCTGCTACTACAGAGATTTGGAGGGTCTGAAGGAAACTCTGGATCAGCGCGAAGTCGCGCTCGTCGCTGCTGAGAAAAACCTTGCCGTCTTCGAGGCGCAGCTGTGTTGCTGGCGCCAGGAGATCGAACAGCAAATTCAGCGAGCAATGAGGCTCGGGCTGAACGTTGACCCCGGCGCGCTGCCGGAGTTCGAGCGCAGCCTCGCTTCAGAGCGAGAGCCGACTGTTCCGCGACCCGCGTCGCCCGACAGCAGCTGCGAGTTGGAAGAAACGATCTCGCAGTCGTTTGACCCGAACTTCGAGAGCATTCGCAAACTTGAGTCGCAAGTGGATCGGCTCAACCGGGCCATTGTCGACGAAGCGCGGAACCACAAAAGCGCCTACGCGGACTGGAGCGGAGTGCCCGCGTTCGGCGAGAATTTTCAGTGCGACCTCAGCGTGGAACGCGAAAGCGGCGCTGCAGACTGTGCAGCTAAGCCGCTCCGACTCTCAGCGCAGGCAAAGCTAGCAGACGCCGCAAAAACGCAAAGCAAACCGTTCTTTTCTTCGCTGTTCGGAGCTATAAAAGAGCGTTTTTCCGTCCCGTGCGACAGCGAACCATCGCACTTAGTCAGCAAACAGTGCGCAGCGTCGATGCCGGCGAGTCCCTCTCGCGACCCGTTTGCCGCAAAGACGAGCGCTCCGGCGAGTGTGCAGCCGTGCACTCAGGGCGTTACACTGCCGACTGCGCTAGGCTCTGCGCCAGCGGAGACACTACCCGTGCAGCCGCCTTGCTCGTCTCCGTCGCAGCTAGCTAGCGAACACTCCGCGTCTTCTGTCGAAGACGCGCCGTTTGCTTCGCCGCGAGAAAGCGCGCCGCAAAACGCTATGAGTAACAGCTTTGGTGCGACGCCGCGCTCTGCGCGTGCCGAAATTTGCGATCCTGAGGAAGCAGACGAGCCGTCCAGCGCTGATCCTTTCGCAATCGCGCCGTTCAGCTCGACTGAACAAGAGCAGCGCGCGAAACTCAGTTTTTCCCGCTTGGCAAAGCCCAAGCAACTGCAGAGCGCCGCGGACACCACCGCTGAAGGCGAACAAATGCTCGATGAGAACGTGCACTTGCAGGCGCTCCTCAATCGTTGCAAGGCGGACTACGAGCTCAGCACACAAGGCATCCAATTTCATTTCAACCATGACGCGCAGGACGCGCGGTCTGAGGAGTTCGAAGAGTTTGCCTGTCTGTGCCAGCCCCCGCAAATGTAACTACGTGGAGACAAGAACGCTAAGCTGTGGCGATGTGCGCAGCGCCGCAGCTGTCGCCTATTTTTTTTGAGTGACCTTCATTGGCAGAAACGCCGCCTGCGGTCGCGCAGCCTCGGCGACCGCGTTCTTCCAAGCGTCTTTATATTGCACCAGGAAGTTCTGCTCCGTTGAAGGCGCAACTTACGGGTCTGTTGGACTTCAACAGCCTGAACGAAGCGGTCTGCAGAAACGCGCCTTCTGCGTGGTCGCGAAGGCAGTCCTTGTTCTGTCCTTTGGAAAAGCGCGCTTTGAATCCTAGCTCTGCAGCGCTCGCTTGCTTGCTTGAAGGCGCAAGTGCAAGACCCGGCTGTGCTTGTGCGTCGCGGCTGCGGCTCTGCGTGTCAACTGTCTTGCCCGCTGCGGCTTCGCCGCTTGCTTTTGCGTCGCCGCTCCAGCCGTTCGCACCAGCCGGCGTAGCCGGTTTTACCGAAGTCTGTCGGGAGCGTGGCGCAGCGGTTATGTCGGCTGCGCTGAGCGCACGCGCTTCGCGCTCGACCGCGCGCTGCTGCGCGGAGCTGGCGCTGCTGTTAGAATCGCCCGATTTCCCGATCACACACTCGTCCAGCGCGCTGGCGCTCTTTTGCGCGCAATCGGAAACGGCCGCAAACTCTCCAGAGCATTTTTCCGCGCCGTCCGACGTGGTGGCTAGCTCAGCAGAAAATTCCGATGCGAATCCATTTTTCGAGAGTCCTGGCGCAGCTGAGCTGCAGTTTTGCGACTTTCTCTGTTGCAAGTCGTGAGCGCCTGGTGCAGCTGCTTTGACAGAGTCAGCGCGCGCGTTTGTTTCGTCGCCAGACTTGTACTGCGCGTTGCGAGCCGGGTTCTGGCCGTTGGACTGAGCAAGCTCGAGTGCGCGCTGCTCTCGCTGCTCGCGCCGCATCTCGCGGTTAGAGCGTCTGCGCGAGCTGAAGTCGGAAGAGTAACGGTACAGGTCCGGGTTGACGACGTGCTCGTTCGCCGGTTCGCGCTCGAGCCGCGCGCCCTTGCCGTCGGCTGCGCCGTCGCGCGCAAGAGTTCTGCACTTCGGCTCGGGTTTGGTGCCCTTGGCTGCCGAGTCTGTCCGCGCCGCTGCGCTGGACGCCCGTTGCGACTGGTTTAGGCTGGCAGACTCGCCCGCGTCGGGCCCGTGCCCGCTCTTCTCTCCCGCCTGTTCGCGTGTATACCGGAACTGGGACGGGTTGATTCGCGGGAACTTCGGCTCGCCGCAGCGGTCTCGGCCGCGGCTGCGCGAAAACTGCCGGCCGCCACGCAAGTCGTCGCCTTTCGATGCGGCTGCGTCTTCACGCGCGCGGCTGTCCTGCGCGTTGCGTTTCCCCATGAACCTTTTGCGCTAAACAACTACGATCCTGCCATCCACGGAATAAGCAGTTTTTCACAGTTGCAAAATTAATTGCGCAGTCGAACAGATGTACGATCCGCTGCTGCGGAGCTACGACGCGGAAGCGCTTGCGCTACGACCAAAGCCAACGGGCCTCGGCGTTTTTTTTCCGGCGAGTCTGACGAACTCTGTGCCGCAGCTCGGTGTCGCCACGCCGACAGAGAACTGCGACGGCGGAGCGGCTCGCGTACGGGCGCGAATGCCGCGCGCGGAGGCGCAGACCACCTTTCGCGACATTGCGCCATTTGTCGAAGCCACTTTGCTGCGTCGGTTGCTCGCACCGAAAAGCTACATTGTGCTGGTCACCGGCGAAATGTGCAGCGGCAAGACGTGCTACGTTGCGCAGTTGCTGCTGCGACTGCTGCGCAGAGTCAGCGAGGAGGCGCTTGTGGCGCCGAGAGTAGCCTGGATCTCATGCGAACTGCCGCCGCTAGAGCTGTTTCGCGCGCGCCTAGCCGCGTTTGCGGAGGCTGCGCGCGACTCCGCGCAGGTCGCGGCAGTCGCGCGCCTGCGCAAACGCCTCGACTTCTACTACTGTTCGCCGGAGACGCGCTTGGAAGAGCTAAAAGAGCTCTGGGAGTACGATCTACTGATTGGTGACGGCGTGTATATAGCTCCGAACAGTGCGCTGTTGCGCAACTGCGTGGAGCGCGGACGTAAGGTAATTAACCTTTATAACGTGGCGGATATATCGAAATATTATATACTACAAAATACGACGCTCTCGGTCGCGCAACACGAACTGAGTGCCGCACATTGAGCAGACAGCATGCAAACGCGGGACAAAGAAGACGGCGCAAAGTCGCAGCCTAATTTCATTTTCGAGGAGTTCGAGACGATCAGCAACTTCGAAAAAAGAGAACCGGCGCCTGACGCCGACGCGAACTGGGTCGAACTCGAGCAAGACGGTAAGTGCGCAGCGCGCCACCGCAGGCGAGACCGAAGCCGCACTGGCTCTTGGCCTGTTGCAAAACATGGAGCACGAAATCGCCGCGCTCGCGGACCGCGACTTTTTGAAGCGGCTCAGCGAACAGCTAAATAGCTGAAAATATATCAATTTCTGCGGGAGTTAACGAGTTTATTGGAGAGTCTATGTAGACTTCGCGCGCGATGTTTCCGAAGTACGGCCAGCGTGCCGGTTGCGTGCTGAAGTCGCAGTGCGACTTCGAAAACGGCGGAGCCTACCCTGAAATCCCCGTCGTGCAGTTTCCGAGCGGAATGGGCCTGCCAAACGAAGAGCAACCGCTGGCCATCCGAGCTTCCGTCGCTGACGGCCGCGCGCAGCAGCTCGCCGCGCGGGGCGCCGAAGTGCTTGCTCGCCCCGCGCTGGCGGAGCTGCGCGAGGAAGTGGCGGAGACCAAGGCGACGATCGAGGCGCTGGTTAAGCAGCAGCTCGAACGCGGCGTCCTGCACCGGATCAAGCAGTCGGTGCGCTCCGGCCCCGCGACCAAGACACTCGAGTTCAGCGAGAGCGCGCGCGGCGACGCGGTCTCGACTATGCAGGTAACCGTGGTGGAAAAAGCGCTTGACCCGCTGAGTTCGCAACACTACCGCTACGCTAAGAACAAAGTAGTGGAAGGCAAGAGTGCGAGCGTGATCATGCGCTCTACCGAGTTCTCGAAGGACGCAGCGCTGACGAAGGCATGGGCCGTGCCCCGCTGTCTGAGCAGTTGGAAGAACCCAACTGGGAAGATCGCGAGTTTGGGCGACCGCCTCGCTGCTGCTGCAGCCGCGGAGCAACAGCCGGTCGTGTCCGGCAACTTTTCCCGCTTTGCGAAGGCGCTGTTCGACGCGGAAGACGAGCTGAAAGACGAGCTGAAGCAAGAGGAGGCGCAGTCTACCGTCAAGGTGATCAGCGCGGAGCGCAAGCTCGAGTCGGAGTTGCTGAAGCTCGACGAAGAACAGCGCGATGTGCTGCAGGTTAAACAGGAAGACGCGGCGCGCGATGTCGCTGCGCAGTGCATCAGTCTCGACGACTGCTTCCTTGACGAGGAGCCCCTAGACAGCGAGCAGCCGGCGGCCGTTGCGGAGGCACAGTGCAAAGCGCCTCCGGCTCTCGAAGCTTCGTCGGACGGCGCGTCAGGCTCGGAGGAGGAAGAGTATTACCAGTCTTCGTGGGTGTTGCAAAAGCGCCCCGCGCAAGACTCTGTCGCAGACGCGAATTCGACTGCT